GCCCGGCTGGCTTATAGTCTACTCAAACCTCGCCTGAGTCTTGTGATAGACTCGTCAAATCCTCGCACAAGACCCAAAACCATCTCATTCGAGTCCCACTCAAACATCAACAAACCTTCGCTCAAGACGTACAAAAAGCTTGTCGAATTCTCGCTAATAACTGACAAAAAACCAGCTCAAAGCATGTACACAAAATATGCATATTCTTGCATGGGACTCGCTTATACATCAGAAAAGACCCACCCAAGACTCATTTAAACTGTACCCAAAACTCGCCAAATATTCGCAAACTACTCGAAATCTCGCCCTAACCTCGCAAAATGAACATTCATTTATCGCTTACGACTCACATAATTAATGCTTTGGACATGATTACAACAAGACTATGCATTCTTTTTCATTTAAGCTGATGAAGTACCGGTAGTTGCGTTCTTCCACAATCAAATAAATAGGCACCAAATTCACACCAAATTTCGTGTAACCTTACTTTCCAAAAGGTTTTCCCAAGTTGACCAAGTTGCGACAACGAAGTCAACCCACTTTAATATTTGAGTGATTTCTACACGAGAATCCGACTTGTATTTTGCTTCTTTTCGATCAAGTTAGTTCGAGATTTGGGTGGGTTTTAGTCTATTTTGTGATGCTGAAGCGAGCACTTGACGATTCTTTCGCGATTCTCGTGCCAACGTTATTCGTGTCGTGTACAAGAGTTTAGCCATTCTTTTGCGAGTCTTCAACATTTCTCGGACGATTTGCAGGCGTTTCTTGTGCCAATCTTCTGTCAATCCTGAGCCCCTTTCGAGCGAGAATTGTCGGAGTTCGAGAGTCACGCCAGCTCTAGACATAGCCTTCGCTGCACTGTTCGCTTGACAAGGACATTTTAAAGTGATGCAACCAAACATTGAGGCGTTGAATTCACTGAATTGCAATTGCATTAGTCATTAGTCATTAGTTGTTATTCCCTAAGACCTCGAGTGGCCACTGGGCAACTGGCGGCTACAAAATTGACAACAAGTCTCGAGTTGCTCCATCCAAAAAATGGGCCCCGAGGCGTAAGCGATTGCTTCAGACCGGGCATCCCCATAAAATGTCTAAAAATAGCCAATCTCATCCGGTTTATGCAGATTTTTGGCGCAAACAACAGACCTGCTTCTTGGCGAGCAGCTACTCTCGCCAATGGACAATCAGAGCCCCTTTGGAAGCTTATCCAGAGAACGGGATTGCTCGAATCTGGTTGAGGGCAAGTTCGACAAACAGCGAATGGTGTGGACATTTTTATGATTTACTGTCAAATTATTCACCTCGGACGAAGATTCACACACTTCATACTCACCTCATGCATGGATCTTACACTTCACGACATCAGAAACTACGGCCTACAAACTGTAGGCAATAGTGACTATAAATAGAAAATAATTTTTTTCTCCTCTCATAAAAGGAGCCTCGGAGGATCTCAACGAAACAGTTCCCATCCTGTAGAGGCGTCCCAAACTGCGCGCAGACATTCCATCGCTGGGACATTCTCGAGCACGCCCACACAAGGGGGGGAAAAAAAAATTAGGAGACTGTAAACACAAGTTTGAGAACTGTGTCTTTTGGGAAAGTGAAAAAAGACCACATACTCAGGCAACCTCAGAGCTTAAGGAGGCCTGATTGCGATAATCACTTGGCGATTTTCAATGCTTCTCGCAGACGCCTCAAGTTCCTCCCTCCTCTGGCAATTTGGGCAAAAATGAAATTATCATCTTATTAAAAGGACATACAATTTTCCAAGTATGCGATTAATCAAAAGACCTGCCCACTCCTCCAGCATGATTAAAGGGAAGAGTATGGGAAATTATCATCATTCTATCCCCTCTCCAACCCCTTGCTCTCTCTCTATCTCTCTCTCTCTCTCTTTTATATATGACCTTTCATGCTATCAGATGTGTACCCCTAAGCCAAGAGCTACATGAACTTAGAGATTGTCCCAACAGCATCCCCAGACCAAAGCCATTTCCGCCCTTTCGAAGGGCAACAACGGAAAATTAAACAAGTTGTAAGGGGAAATGCTCAAACAATCACAGGTACTGGCTATTATTTGAGCAATAGCTTATTCCTCCATAAAAGTGGCTCAACAAGCAAATGAGATGTTAAGAATGGCTGAAAAGGATTAAAAGATATCCCCACCAATGAGCAATCGCTGAAGCCACAGGAAAATAAAAATAAGTTTATTCAACTATGACAATTTTATCAACAATATTCATTTAAAATCAAAT